TTTCTGGTATAATATTTTTAAGATGTTTATCGAATCTCAGTACATTCCAGTGTTTTGAAATAATATTCTCCACTGCTCTATATTGTTTATTATATTGTAAAATGACTGGTAAGTCAAAGTTTCCCTTATTTTCTTGTGATTTGTCCATTTAATATGGTATTTCTATCACATTTGTCCTACTACGTGCCTTTCTTTTTCTAGTATATCTTGCTTATATCCTTTATTAGTAAACCTCTGTGCTAGAATTGCACTTTGTTCCATATAGTCCGTATCCCTTTTGCAATTCGTCTTTATGCGCATAAACTGTCCTCTAGGGACATTCGTAAGCCAGGGCTTGTAATGGCAGCTATGTAGTGGGATATATGCATTTCTATCCGTATTTTTAAAATGAGTTTTTGTGTATAATGTGGGCTCCTCCTTTATGATCTGAATGTCTAAGAAATTAATATTAGTGGAGCTAATGTTCCAACTAAGTTGAATATTTTGATCATTTCTATTCAGATGTTCATAAAATATATTTATACCATGTGAATCGCCTTCCCATATGACTATAAGGTCATCAATGAATCTTTTATATAGAATTATTTCCTTTTTAGGATCACTAAAATTGGTTTCTTCTTCTCATTTTGCCATGTACAAATTGGCTATACTGGGGGCAAACTTTGCACCCATTGCTACACCCCTCTGTTGTAGAAAATATTCGCCTTTGTACCAGAAATAGTTGTGGGTTAAACAAAATTTTAAACATTTTATAATGAACCTTTGGTGTTTCGATGGAATTTGGAAATAATTGAGGGCCCACTTTGCTGCCTCTATTGTTCCTTTGTGATTAGTATATAGTGCTGATACATCGGCCGTGCTCATAATGGTATTGCTATTGGTAATTATTTCCTGGGTTAACTGTATAATATGTTTTAGTGTCCCTTAAATAGGCCGGGGTTTGCGTTACTAATGGTTGTAAATAACTACCGTATTTGCCGGCGTATAAGACGACTTTTCAACCCCTGAAAATCTTCTGAAAAGTCGGGGGTCGTCTTATACGCCGGTATACGGCGAGCCAGTGTGTCAGGGCGGCACTTTTTCCAGGGGCGGTGTCCTCCAACGGACACTAAGTACAGGGGTGGGCAGAGGGGCTGCTGTACCTTACCTGGCTCCGGTTCCGGTCCCACGATGATCCGGTCCAGGAAGCGCAGCTGCTCCTTCTTTCAGTTCGGCCGCTCGGCTCCGCCTCCTTACCGGTGATTGGGCGCCAGCGCACACAGGCGACCAATCACCGGCGAGGAGGCGGAGCCGAACGGCCCCGCGAAAATCAAGCTGCCGAACTGAAAGAAGGAGCAGCCGCTCCTCTCCCCCACTGACACTAACGATGGGGCACTATTCCTCCTCCCCACTGACACCAATGATGGGGCACTATTCTCCCCACTGACACCAATGATGGGGCACTATTCCTCCCCCACTGACACCAACGATGGGGCACTATTCCTCCCCCACTGACACCAACGATGGGGTACTATTCCTCTCCCCACTGACACCAACGATGGGGTACTATTCCTCTCCCCACTGACACCAATGATGGGGCACTATTCCTCCCCCACTGACACCAACGATGGGGCACTGTTCCTCCCCCACTGACACCAACGATGGGGTACTATTCCTCTCCCCACTGACACCAACGATGGGGCACTATTCCTCTCCCCACTGACACCAATGATGGGGCACTATTCCTCCCCCCCACTGACACCAACGATGGGGCACTATTCCTCCCCCACTGACACCAACCATGGGGCACTATTCCTCCTCCCCACTGACACCAACGATGGGGCACTATTCCTCCTCCCCACTGACACCAACGATGGAGCACTATTCCTCCCACTGACTAATGATGGGGCACTATTCCTCCCACTGATACCAATGATGGGGTGCTATTCCTCCCACTGACACCAATGATGGGGCATGATTCCTCCCACTGATACAAATGATGAGGCACTATTCCTCCCACTGACACTAATGATGGGGCACTATTTCATCCACTGACACCAATGATGGGGCACTATTCCTCCCACTGACACTAATGATGGGACACTATTCCTCACACACTGACACTACTGATGGGGCACCATTAGTGTCAGTGGGAGGAGTAGTGCCTCATCATTGGTATCAGTGGGAGGAATCATGCCCCATCATTGGTGTCAGTGGGAGGAATAGCACCCCATCATTGGAATACCATACTGAAATAGCATACCATATTGAAATCAAATCTGATGTTTTTTCATTTTTATTTGGTGTGCGTTGGAAGAGGGGTAGTCTTATACGGCGAGTATAGCTCAAACCCTGTATTTTAACAGGAAAAGTAGGGGGTCGTCTTATACGCCCAGTCGTCTTATACGCCGGCAAATACGGTATCTATACATTCCCCCAAACGGGCTGACAGTGAGTCTATCCCGTTTTATAATGGGCCTACCTGGTGGTTTATTAATGTCTTTGTGAATTTTGGGAACCATATAAATGATAGGTAGTTTGCACGTAGATGGTGTAAGGTACTTCTCTTCTTTGTTATTGAGTATACCTTTTTTTACTTCCATACTGGGCTAGCTTTACCAATTCCTTTTTGCATGTTTTAGTGGGATTGTTATTTAATCTGCTGTATGTATGAGTGTCATTGGGCATATCGTTCATGGTTGATTCGTAGTACTCCCTAGTGAGTATTACTATGCCTCCGCCTTCATCCGCTGGGAGGATGACTATATCTTTTCTTTCCTCTAACGATTTCATTCCTTTTTTAAGGTCTCCTATTTCTTTGTATTTTTTAATCTGTAAATCCTCTATAACTAATTTTCTAAACAAATGTACATACCTATTGCCTGTAATATTGCGGTTAAAGGTAGATTTATTTTTCAAAGTGGTGTGATATGTATCTTCCTGCTCTCTAGTATTAGTGGAAATTATATTGGGATTCTGGGCATAATATTTTTTGATATTCAGATTTCTGACTAGTTTTTGAATACATATATGTCAAACTTATTTAGACTCTGAGCAGGTACAAATTTTAACCCTTTATCTACAGTATAAATTTCCTCTTTGGTAAGGGGTGCTCCACATAATGAAAAATGCCCTCTCCTATTAATCCCTTCTTTTTTGTTGTTTTCTTCCTCCTCTGCAACCTCTTTTATTGGTCTTTCCCTGGGTTCTCCCCTCTCTTGGGGGGATTTTAGCTACACCCTAAAAGAGGATTAGGAATGGGGAAGTCTGGTTCTTCTGATGCTAGTGGTGAATATATCTATTATGAAGCTGTACTGGATAGGGTTTTTAGGTGGGTTTCTTGTAGTATTGTGGCCTTTTGTGGTTTGGGTTTGTGATGGCCATAATTTTGGTTGCCTTGGTCATAGGCTCCATACCCTCCATAATTTTTTGATATTCCTGATGTGCCCTGGGTGGGTATCCTCTATATTGGTTGTTATATGGTGGCCTTCCACCTTGAGGTGGACAATATGGTGGTGCTCTGCAAGGAGCTGCATTAGATTTACAATTATTATTACCTCTCCTGAATTTCTGAGGTGTGTATTGATTGTGATATTGATGTTTGGCTTCTCTTTGCTCATTTCTAGGTGTATGGTTTATAGGTGTTTTAAAGCCCAAAGTTTTCTCTTTTGGGGATAAATTGCTGACTATATTTTTTTTCTGGTGTGGATTCTGCTGATTTTAATTCATTATTTGCTGATTTTATATGTCACTTACTTGTTTTTGTTGGTAATCCTGGCTTACTCTTTGATATTTTTTTCTTTTTCTTATTTTTATTTTCTGAATCTTTTTTTTCTGTACATTTTTGTTTCATTCATTAGTTTTCCAAATTCTGGTTGTTCTTTGAGTGTTTCTACTTTATCTTTATATTAATTAATTAGTGTATCAATTTTCCTCATTTTCCTTTGTTTTCTTTTTATTAGGAATTGTAATACCTTCATACTCTTTTCACTGAAGACGTTACGCCACTCCTGTATATCATCTTCCTCTAACAAGCCATCATTAATGGGTAGCTCTCATCTGAGTTTTCTGGGGATCATTTTATCTTTGATGTGTTTTTTCATAGTGATGATATCCCACCATGTATTAATTTTCTTGCCCATTATGTGTCCTAATTTTCTGAATATATTTGTGATATTTGTGTCTGTGTGCTCCTCACCTTTGAATATATCCTCTATATGGAGGTCTCTAGTTTCTAAATAAGAAAATATTTCCATAGTGTCTACTAACAAGGGTATGAGTAATTGATTAAATGATAAATATGATTCTTGTGAGCTACTATGGTGTATTCTATAAATAAAAATATTTTGAGTGAATATATAAAAAAAATTTGGTTGGTTAATAAAATTCCACCAAGAAATGAAATTAAATAAACTGAGTGGAGTAAATACAATAAAATAAACTGGTAGCTGAAAAAATTTTAAATAATTGAGTGGGTTGCCTACACTATACACATTATTATTATTATTATTATACCGGATTTATATTGCGCCAACAGTTTGCTCAGCACTGTACATTATAAAGGGAGACAGTGCATGAGACAGTACAGTAACAATACGATTCAATACACGAGGGGTTTGAGGGCCCGGCTCCTTGGAGCTTACAATCTAGGAGGGAGTGTACTCACATGACATTTGAATTAAAATAGCTTTTTATACAAAAATTCAGGATCCCCAATGTGTTTGCCACACTTCAATATACTTGCTGTGTAGTTGCCTTTAAGTGTTGTGATGTCAGAGCCCCTCCCCTATGCGTTACGCCACCGGGTCACGATGTGGAGTTAGCTTGCTAGTGACCAGGGGCGGACTGACAACTCATAGGGCCCCCGGGCAATAGGGGATCATGGGGCCCCTGTGTCCTTGCCCAAACTCAAAAAAGCCTATGAAAAAGGTACCAGGGGCATCTCATGGGGCCCCCTACTGACCCCGGGTCCTCGGGCAGTGCCCGAGTTTACAAATGGTCAGTCTGCCCCTGCTAGTGACCATCCTGTTCCCAGGCCTGTGCCTTCTTCAGTCACTGTACGGGATGCAGTGAGTTACACAGGTCAGGTCTTAGTTTTAGATTTTGTATGGGGTTTTGGGGCTCCACTCTCATTGCTTCAATGTTTCCAAGGCTTCTGTTGAAATCCAGGGTGCCTGCAGCTATGGGTTAGTGCTAGAGCTTAGGTACAGCAATAGTTAGTCCCTCTGTCACTGTTACAGTGATGGCATTTTGTATATATGATCAACTCAAAATACTTAGTCTTGCTGAAAAGTAAAAAGTTATATTTTGCCACGACCTTTGTAAAGCTAGGAGACACAGCTTACATTTGTAGAGACTATTACCATGATTTCACAAAACAAACATTCACCGTATTTTTTCTAATAGATTAATTCCCGTATCATCAGCTCCATCTGGTGGGCAAAATGTGGTGTAGTTTTGTAAAATACCTCAATGAGAAAATACAGTGCATTTTGCCTACTAAATGGTAGTGATGATACAGAAATTAAATTATTAAAAAAAAAATTTGGCCTATGAATGTTTTAAAAATAGACACCACAGTGTGTTGAAATTTGTAGTTCTACATGGACAGCAGCACAATAGAGCTTTTTTTTTTTTTTTTTTTTTTTTTTTTTTTAAACAGAAGGTATTGGAATGTCACACTTCTACCATAAATCCCAAAACAAAGGGATTATTCCTAATTTAGGGCAAATTCACACTATAACCTGCATTTTACTGTGTTGTAAAACACTGGTCACTGCACAGACACACAAAAAACTGTTTGTTTTCCGTGTGTCTCACTCACACTGTAACGCAGCCCGGAGCTGCACTGTACACAATAACATTTTATCCAAAGCCAAAATATATATAACATCTACTTTAAAGTTAGATTGCCTTACTAACATTCACATAAAAATGCTTCTTACCATTTACTTGCTCTTTTATGAAAAATCCAAAACTGAAGTTTATTCCTACTAAGCAGAGGGGGCTGGGGAGTCAATGTTAACCATATTAAAGCCTGTCTGTACCTTGCTGGTAGATCTCATTATCAGTGGTAAACCATATCTGAACACTGTCTATCCTAACAGCCCCCCTAATACTCACCTAAGCCGATCCAGCGATGTGCACTGGAGTCTCAGCTATCATGGGACTCCCCTCTTCTCATTGGCTGAGACAGAAATGGGAGCCATTGGCTCTCACTGCTATCAATCACAGCCAGTGAGCCAATGAGAAGAGAAAGGGATTGGGGCCAAGCCACAACTCCGGGCGTGTGAATGGACACACGAAACACAGTGGGTGCCCCCATAGCAAGCTGCTTGCTGTGGGGGCACCTGACAGGAGGGAGGGGCAAGGAGAGCCTGCGGGGGACCTGAGAAGAGAAGGTTCCAGGCTGCTCTGTGCAAAATGACTTATTTGATTAGAACCCCCCATAAAGAAACTGTGAATGTATCTCTGCCAAACTAAACGGTGCAGAGCAAAATGAAAGAAAAAGTCACCCAGACATATTCAAGGAGAGCGACCTTTAGTGCAAAGCCAATCCTGAATGGCGTCTGGGGTAGTGAAGATGTGATTGCCTTCTCCCATAACTTCTGCTTGATGTCAGTGCAGGTGGCTCTCTGCCTCTGCAGATCTATGGATAAATCCAGAAAAAGTGATATGATTACATTCTCAAAGTGGATCTGGCTCTTTTGCTTGGCCTTGTGAAGAATAAGATCTTGATCTCTGCAATCGAGCAATCTAATAAGTAAGGACTGTGGAACCGCACCAGGCTGGGGAGGCTTTGCCTGAACTCTATGTGCCTTTTCCATAGCAAAAGCAGTTGAGAAACCAGTGTCAGAGAATGTAGATTTAAGCCAGGATTCCACAAATTCACCGTGATTTTTACCCTCAGCTTTTTCGGGTAGTCCCACAGTTCTAATGTTGTTCCACCAAAGGCTATTCTTAAAGCCATCCAGCTTTTGATACCAAAAAGATATTTGTTTTTCAGCAGCAGAGACCTGGCTAGGGAAGGGAAAGAAGTAATCTTCCAGTGTAGAGATCCTACATTCTGTCTCTGTGACCCGTTCCCCAATACGTTGCATGTCTTATCTCAGGAGGCCTATATCCACTTTAATTTCCTCTATTTTGCCCGTAAGGGAAATGTAGCAAGAAGTGATGGCATTAAGGAGCTGTGCATTTACTTGCTCCAGGGTATGCTTACCCAATTTCTCCATCACTGAGGTGGACTTCTGGGCCTCCGTGGCTGCAACACTACTGCTTACTGCTTTTCATGTGCAGAAGGCTATGGGCACCATCTTGCCTCTCCGTGCGGGCAATTCTTTCAACCAATCTGCAGCAGTAGATGGCTGATCTCTACTCATCATGTTGCCAGATGACGACACACCTCAAGGGGCTATGAAGGAGAGCAGGAGTGGCTGGTAAATAGTAAGTTTACAACATATTCTGTAGACAGCTGGCAGAGGTCTCCTCAGACATGTCTGGCTATCTTGACGGTAGTCACGCGACCCAGGCCCATAGGAATCTTAAACTTGGGACCATTGGGGTTACACTCATGAAATCGAATTCAACTGGCTCCTTCCCCTCTGGAAGACCCTAAAGACAACTCGGCCTGACTTGACCAGGATCCTGTGGCTTATCCAACCCTGCACCCATGGCTAATGACCCCACTTCTGTGAAGTACTCAGGAAAGTTTCCATTAGTCAGGAATAATGTCAAGATGGGTGTATATGTTTTATATTGCTTTACTAACCAGTTCAAATACACAAGGTCCTATACATTCAGCATGTTTCCAGGTAGAAGCAAAAGAGCTTGGTAATGTAGCACAAACAGAGTTACAATAAAGTCTTTAAAGAGAGAAGGTCCAGTAAGAGACCTACCTTGGCCTACTTGGATAAAGTCTATGGGGCATGCCCTTTGTCTTATCTGCCATGGCGGGAGAAGTCCCCAGGCTTTCCCTAGGAGAGGAAGCATCCATATATAACTGTAGGTTACATTTCTCCTGCCTAGAGACTAGCTTTTCCCACACACTAAGCTAGCCAGGCTTCACCATAGGGACCTATATACATGTGCGTGTTGCATGAAACTTCTTATTTTTGTACGTTTTTGTGTGACATGCATAAGGCAGCCTAATCACTTGAAAAAAAATGTGCCAAAGAAGCTCCTGAACTTTTTCAGCGGAGCTTCACTCGTGGTTCCATGACATGTTTTAATGCATTTGTTGTGCATTTTGCCACATGCAAAAGTGTGCATCTGCTGGCTGTATTTGTGGTGCCATTACCAAATAATGCCACTGCAAGCATGCTGTGCATTTTCCATGCGCTTCAGTGAATACGCACGGAAATGTGTGCTTCTGCTCTTGTTCCTGGAACGTACAAATGTGAATGCAGCCTTATAATCACCTTACTGAATGTGTAAAAAAATGTGTATTTACATATATAAGTTATATATTTATTTCAGGTACTTATATAGCGCCGTCAATTTACGCAGCACTTTACATATATATTGTACATTCACATCAGTCCCTAACCCTCACGGGGTGTACAATCTAAGGTCCCTAACTCACATTCATATACAAGGGCCAATTTAGACAGGATCCAATTAACTTACCAGCATGTCTTTGGAGTGTGGGAGGAAACCGGAGTACCAAGAGGAAACCCACGCAGGCACAGGGAGAACATGCAAACTTATTCTGGTAGTTTATATGAATCACACTTGGTGTAATCAAAATGTAGGCTGTATCCTCTATGACTTCTTGTACTGTAGGCCAAGCTTATTCTGTACTTGTTGATCTTCTATTGCTTCTGTTGTATAAAAAAAACTCTGGAAACTGGAGGAACTCTGTTGTTCTACAAAAAAATATCTTGATATAAAAATAGTGGAATACATGCAGTGATATATTACATCAATCAAACTCTCTTTAAATCAGCTACAGTGGATATAAAAAGTCTACACACCTCTGTTAAAATGTCAGGTTGCTGTGATGTAAACAAATGAGACAAAGATAAATCATTTCAGAACGTTTTCCACCTTTTAATGTGACCTATAAACTGTACAACTCAATTCAAAAACAAACTGAAATCTTTAAGGGGGGGAAGTAAACATAAAATACTAAAATAATGTGCTTGCATAAGTGATAAGTGTGCACACCTTTTAACCACCTGGCATCTTTTTTTTATTCCGAGAGGACATCATATGACATCCTCCCAGTTGTGTGCACATCCCTGGGACCATGTTATCTCTGTGACCAATCATAGCAATCACATGTCCATTGTCAACAATTACTTTCATTAATAGCCATTGTGTGTGCTATTGTGATCTCTGTGATTGGTCACAGTAATCACATGATAGAGGGGCCAATCACAGCTGAACAGCTGACCTGCACTATGTGATAGCTGTGGCCTAACAGATCATCATTTATTTTCAAAATGTTTTAACAGAAACTAAGGAAAATTTAAAAAAAATGGTGTGGAGGTGTCCCCCCCCCCCCCCAAATCCATACCAGACCCTTATCCAAGCATGCAGCCCGGCAGGTCAGGAAAGGGGAGGTATGAGGGAGCTCTATACCAGGCCACATGCCTTCAACATGCGGGGGTGCTCCCCCCCAAAGCACCTTGTCCCCATGTTGATGGAGACAAAGGCCACTTCCCCACAACCATGGCCTGTGGTTGTGGGGGTCTATGAGTGGGGGGGCTCAGAATCTGGAAGCCCCCCTTCCCCCTTATGTGAATGAGTACCGCTACCCATTCACAAAAAAATTTGTAGTGTAAAAAAAGACAGGAGACAGTCTTTGGCAAGTCATTTATTAAAAATGAAAATAAAAAAAAATGTGTCCCGAAGTAGATCCAACGTCAGTCAAAATGCCCGCTGCTGTCGCTTCCCAAAAAAAAAAAAATGCTCTGCTAGCGACACTGGCTCCCCTGCCATCTGACAGTTGCACCCACGATGAAAGTACTTATATACTGTCATGACGTCACAAGGGGGCGGGGTTGACCCCACCCCCTTGTGACGTTATGACCGTATATAAGAACTGTAATCGCGGACGCAACTGTCAGACGGCGGGGGAGCCAGTGTGACATGATCACGTGCTGTGATTGGTCAAAGCATTGCACCTTACCTGTGGTCAGCTGCATTGCTTTGAC